AGCCCTCTAAATCCTTTAAATCTGTCGAATATGCCAGTTTTTTTATTATTTGGCTGTGGTCCCTAATCAACACCTTCAAATTGCCGATAGAATCGATGGGTCATTTTCAGAAAGTGTTTCTAAAGAAGGTGCGATCGCTGTACCAAGAAGTTTATTGGTCTGATGTTTCGGATTATCACTTGAATACATCATCAGACACAACCGCAGCTAAGAGTACTGGGGCACAAAAAGCATAGGATTTGTAGTACGCATTAGCCAGGCAGCCACCTGCCTACATCAGTTAACGGCACTCGCGTTCATCACTGAGTGTCGTAGTTGATGCGATGATTGTTGTCGGTCCGTGCCTGAGTCGTTAATCGGTAGGATTTCATCAGTATTGATTATTCCTTGCATGAAGATTACTCGGCAGATTGACTTTCTGTCACCGGGACTGTTTCTCGCCCGCGTGGCTAATTAGTTTGCTTAGACACAGTTGTAACATTTGATATGAAGGGGGCAGCTCATTGCACTTTTTGCTTGAATGCGGGCCAGAGAGCCGTGGCTCACTTGATTATGACTTCTTGCGAAAATTTTGGCCTCTTCAAACATACAGATGTGGCCGCGTCCCGTTGAATGAGCCGCGATCTAAGCGTTAGCATCGCTCCTCACTGCCGTTGTATGTTCGGTTACTAACACCCCAAGTAGTCCCTCAGTTTCTCCGACGTAGTTGCTTTGTCCGCTTCTGCACCGAATCCGGTAAACGACTCCAGACATGTCTTGCCTTAGCAGTGGGTCTTCCTCACTCGTGACCTGACGTCTGATAGTTGGCTCCAAACCGTGTGAAACTTCAAATCCAAGTGAGGCGAGGAAACGGCTGACGGTTTCCGATGCGTTCTTCGCGTACTGGGGCGCGCGTCAAACTTTTCGGCCAGCTGTTTATGCATGCATCGACTAATGACGTTGCGCGACTAACCGTTCGCTCCTAGAACTCGTCGAGGATATTGTAATTCAGCAACCTTATCCTCCACTTTACTGTACTGCGTCTCGGCACACCCCGCATAGCGCCTTTACGCAACTGCCTTTGCGGCTGTTTTGGTGGTTTCTGTAGAAGCTCAGTACCAGTTTCGTATTAGACGCTTTCCTGAACACTTGTTTTTAGGCCACCACGATGTTTGCGACCCATAGCGTCAACGGAGGCTTGCTGGTTGTTTTCTCCCTCCTCCATCGTGAATTGTATGCCCGGGAAGACGGCACCCGATCCCGTTCGATGACACATAAGATATCATCTGCATATTGAGCCTATAATGTTGGTCTGTGGTATTTGAAGACCAGCCACACCAACCATTGTGATACCGCCTTATCTACGAGCCCCAAAGGCAGTAAACTCATCGGCTTGCCTTTCACCTGCCCTTAAATTGTTCGGTCAAACGTTAAGTACGTCTTGAGACGGAACTTCAGGAGCAGCACATCGTCTTCTATTGTTCAGTCCTCTGACGGTACTTTCGAAGCCTCGGGTGAAGTCGAGTCTTGAAGGATCACTTGAATCATTCCTC